CACTAACCCTTTCATCATTTGCTGGGATAACATTAAGCAACTGTCGAAGCGCCACCAACATTTGAACACGGTAGCCAGTGCATTATGCACTGCTGTCGAGATGTTGCAAACCACCAGCCAAAAACGTCGGCATCGACCCAATCTGAGCTGGCCGGTGTCGAAATCGACGAGGGTCATTAACATATTTCAAGGACACATGCACCGATATGCGTCCTCACGTCGTATTCACACCCCCAGACATGCGTGGATGAGTAAATACAGTAGACTTACATGCCATTGGTGGGTCGGCAAATTAGTGCGCTCCAATCTACCCCTGACCTGCGCGTCGACTGAGCAAAAACGAAATACTCTTCTCAAACGTACGGTATCTCCATAAACAGAGGAACTATTAGGCTGACTGTATGAACAATCTGCTCGTTCTCACTGTACTTAGAGCTTGAGTCCATAGTTTAGAGAACGGTAATCACTTATTGAGAGTGGATGAGAAAGTGTCACAACTAGACCATGAAAAATTAGAACGGACTCACATAAAGAACAAGATAATTCCAATTGATGTCTAATTTATTTGGGAATGATTCAGATCAGGGTCACCAATGTAGTGACGAAATTGATTTTTGCCGGGGTCGGCGATGTAGCGAGAGTAGCCGGTTCACGCTAACACTTGAAGTATTCACGACAGAATACATGCGTATGCCGTTCCCAGTGATTGAACAGACGACACGGAAGTGACGGGGCGAAAGTGTAATGTGTGTACACTGATCCTGTCTACTGGTTAAAAATGCGACACCGGACGACACGAGCTAGCTAAAGAAGGATGTGAGGGACCACCCGATTGAGCGGCGTGTTGAATCCAGCCGTGGTGCGTGTGTTTGTCAGGTGTGTGTTGGATCAGACAAACAAATCCAACATAAATTTCAGCAATCTGCAAACAACCTCCAAGTGTATAATATGATGGATCTTTGGATTATTATTTTGCACAACATACTCAGAACAATCGGGGAATCTCCAGACTGCTACACCGTTTTATTGTTTATCTAGTGCATGATTAAAATGGGTGCACAGACACTTCCGTAGGGAAAACAAATGGGTAACTATTAGAAATAAATGGAACGAGTTTACCGAGGATATATTCAAAACAGCTGACGTTGCAGTTCTTTCTCGAATTGGGATCTCCAGTTTAACAGTCGCATCAAATTGCGGTTTCACAAGGCGGATGGTTGCGGGGAAGCTTTTATTTACACAGTAGATGGATCCCTGTATACCGGTTGTAAAAATGACGCCGTTGTGTAATACTACCTGGGGCGAACGAAGGAATGCATCACATGTCGTAGCTGGGCGATAGAGGCCAACCGAGACGTTGATCAAGAGTTGGTGCTCGATTCAACCAATCGAACTCTGCATGCAGTTTGAGGTTCCGCACCGATCGCCTAAGTATACAATGAGATAGCAATAGTCAACATTTTACACAGTGCACTCACACAAACATGGAAATCTCCAGTTTGTCACACACTTCCAATTACGATAGTTATAAGCTTTCCGATGACAATCGTGCTTTCCCTTCATAATAGCTCAGGAATGTCAATATTGTTTCTTTCGGTCAACTCATTTTGTAAGCTGTGTTGTTATTTTATGTTTGTCTAAACCGCCCTTTTGTAGTCGTATGTTCATGTCGGTTATACTGCTCCCCATTGCCGTTTTTGTGACACTCCAATGCTGTTCCTTTTGCTGCTTATCAAGACCCACTCGAAACTTGAACTATAACGTTGCGTTACTCAACTTTGAAGCCCATTCATTGTGTCCAGTTTGGGCTTGGTGGACATTTGCTTGTTTCCCTCCAGTTTCTCGCTTATGCCTCTAATTCATCGACCATTGGCCCAATCTTGGCTATGCTTGACATATAACATGCGTTACAGTCTGGATTTTCCCACTTCTTTTTACTTAAATTAATTTACTCTGGATTCCCATCACATCTCTCCCCCCTTTTCGATCCTTAAGCAACGGAAGGATCCAGTTCGAAAGTATTAGGACGCGATGGTTGTATGTTTGGATTGAATTGGTCTATTTAGAAACAGTATAGGTGGCATTTACTGTTCATTGCTTCTTCCCGTACTTTCATGGGCGCCTGAGCGTTGGCATTGCGCTCTCCCGGACCCGCTTCCAATAAGCGTTGGTGCATAGGATCTTACGCACCTGCCTTGGCTCGAAATGAATTTGGCAAGAGACCGCCCTTTGTTCTTTCTATGTCTGGCATCTTTTATGGCCCTCACTCGTCTTTGGATAGCTGATGCTACCACCCGTTACCTACACAATGTAGATATTCTATCTGAGAGGTTTCTCGATTCGGAAAGCAAATAAGACGCAAGTGCGACACTTGTCACACACTCGGGCTTTATGATAACAACGGACATGGCAGCGCAAGCGATCCTGTAGTTCTTTTCAGTCTGTCTTGCCTCCTATGACTGCCGGCTATTTCGCTAATTATTGGACGCTTCCATTTGATTTACCAAGCTGAGGTGACACTACATGAGGAGGCCGTCTATTGCGACGCCACCGCTGACTTCGTTCGCGTTAACGTGAAAACAAGATACTACTAGCAGTATGCTGGTGCCCTGCACCGACAGTTCGCTACAACGCGACCACCACTTGGGGACTATGCATAATGCTAGATCGCTCACACTCCCGCAGAATGGGAACTCGATGACCTTTGGGTCACAAGGCAGATGCACCGACCCTTCGTTCACAATACATCAGGCAGAGGTTCCTACCACTGTTGTGGTTGTTTCTGTGGCTGTTATCCGGGTACCGAACCTCGGGTTAACTTCATCCTTATGTTTCGGTGATCGTCATCATCTTCGGAGCTTCGTCCAGTCATGGGCATTTCTAGTAAGCAGCATACACCGTGCTGCACCGCTTTATATCGTGCGAACAGTCTGACACAGGTGAGATCTAGTCGGCCTACATTTGTCGAACAACTCATTTCAATTGGGGCCAGGTACCTTAGCAGACCTTTATGTTGCTCGCTAAGTGGTGATGTCAGATTTGATCGCTTCGAAGCTACTCATCGATCCACCCTCTCGATTAATGTGACTATTCACAATATAAATATAGAATCTGCGCTCATTCTCCTCGTCTGTTGGTGTGATGTTATCTTCAAGGACGGGATACGGTTTGTACTGTTGTGTGACGCTCATGACTCAACACCCCAACCTGTCTTTCATCGCCACTCATCGTTATACACGTTATATAAGGGTAGAAAATACTTCACCTATTGTGCCTCAAATACTAGCCCAAACTCTTTCCATTATTCGGTCATCGCATAGCTGCTGGAAGTAAATACTATGAATCGTTGCAGTACCGATCACAGCTCCTCAAGTTACTGCGATTACAAGTTACAGCACCTTTCCCCAAGGACATGTTCTGTATTTTCAAGAGTGGCTTGCGCGCTCGAAATGGGCAGGTGTCTTGATGGTGACAATTCGATGGGTGATCCACACTCACCGGAGCTCGAATTCCCTTTAAAGGCAGCGGCTGATTTCTGTGCGCTCGTTGATACTTTTAGTACCGCGTGTTCAGTCCTGCTTGAATTGTTTTAGGTACGTTGTTGGAGCGATGATAGTTATTGTGAGATCATCTGTACTTCAACCTCTTCGTTTGACGTTGCGATGGAGGTTCACGTGATCTTGCTTTGTGCCCCAACAGTCACCAGCTTATAACCCCTGCCACAGTCTTCGATTTGACACTATCTTCCCACGTGTATTATTCGTCGTCTGCCTAGCTACATACATTGTTCGTGTTGCTTCTTATCCGAGATATTTGGCTCTCGTCAAATGGGGATTGCTGGTGTTCTGTGTACGCTTGGTATCCTACCTTTTTACTATTTTGTTTTTGTCTCTCCCAGTCGCCTCCGTTTTATCATTGATTTGCGGATCTGTAGGCCCTGTGAGGATTTCTAACCATTTCACCTATCATGATTTTGCCACATGATCTTACTCTACTCTGGCTTTATCAACCTACATAGCGTCTTCGTCCACATGTGGCCACCAGTGTTTATGAAGTAGTACAAACCTTACCCATCTCTTAGGCGACTTGACATTCTTCGAGATAGACAGCTGGTGTTTTTCATCATTGTGTCTTTTGTTTTTGGCAGATTCTGGTACACTTTTGTAACTGGAGTTCGCGGTACGATACATGGTATCCAAAGACTTCGGATTCTTTACGCACTTTGAAGTTAGTTTCCAATGCCAGTCCCTCAAAGATGAAAATGACGCAAAACGGTCACTCTCCAAAATCACTTAAGGCCCCACCGGTTGCGAGTTCTCCATTCACTTCCTTTCTCGTTGGGTCTTACGTAATGGCTAGCTGGCGCAATCAGTTTGAGTACCTGGCTGAAGTACTTGCCCATCGCCATCGCCAAGGCGATAAATCCGAATACCGTTTGAGATATGTGTGGGACAACGTAGTCGAGTGGACCCCCGTTAGTCGTCTTCGCAAGGCGACCCAATTTGAAATTGACTACGTCTTGAAATTTTGTAGAGAACACGGTGGAGAAGGTTCCGGTAAACCTCTCTCTGAGGTTTCACCAAAGTCTACTGATAAGTCGGTGCGGTCCTCTTCTGTTTCTGCTTCTTCTCCTATGACCTCGGCCCCACCAACGTTTTCCACCCGGTCTCAAACGAAAAAGCTTTCCCTTGAGCCGAACAGTTGTCTAACCAAGACAGCACATTCCACAAATCAGTCAGGCACGCCCTCAGCCACCGCCAGTTCGGAACCCAAAACCAATCCACTATCACTAGTCTCGGATGGAGTTCAGCAAGATGGTATGGTCTATGATAAGGCGGTACTTCAGTTTCACGAGGCATGCCGGAGAAGACGCGAGCTAAAAAGACAAGCCATCGAAGAGGATAAACCTTCCACTACTGATTCCATAGTCTCTACTCTCGGCGAGACTCCGGTTGCTTGTGCACCCAAAACCAATAGTACCAACTCTCCACCCCATATTCCTCCAGAGAGTAAGGAAGAGGTCATCCAGAGTTTTGCACCTCTCCCGAAAGCTGCGAAACTTTCTCCTACGGATGATACCGATTCCTCGCATCATAGTTCTCCGAGACTTCCGTCAGCATCGGAACTGGAGAACTCAGTCGATCCGCATGTACGTTTCTCTTTGCTCTATTAATCTTGATATGTTCTAATTCTTTTTTTACGGATGAACTGTCTCAATGCTCGCCTTATTTTACTGGTCAACACCACATACTTTTTCTCATCCGGTTTTGCATTAATTCATTTGTCAATGCTCGTTACACTGCACTCTCGCTGTAAGGTCACACACATCATGTTGTCACGGTGCGCATGTCAAGCACCAACTATTTTGCGTCTGAGTGACGATAACACTAACCCTTTTAAGTCATTTCAGACCAAATTATTCTTCACGTGTTTAGCTTGCTTCTTTTTTAACATTTTACAATATCCAGTGCAGATGAACTAAAGTGGCATTAAAAATACGGAGTTGTTCGAATAGAAGAAACGAACACGGTGCATAGATCTCACTTCCATAGACGGCTCTACATCAGCAAGCACCGATTGTACATTGCTGAAGGGGGTCACTCGGATTCGCATGCTGTTGACAGGACAGCGTCGAGGATCAGTTTGCCAATCAGAACGGTGCTTTCTTACTATACTGGAACCTGTCTTGATAGTTCCTTTGAATGCGCTTATACTTTCGCTGATGAAATCAATAAATCACTTTCTATACCCAGAATATTATGTTTTTTCTACGTGAAGGACAATATTAATGATCTTGGGAATAGTCTAAACGAAAAATGTCAAAAGTATTCCGATGAAACTGGTACATCCGCAGTATATGGCGTAAAAACTATTTCATTGAAAAGTGCAACGATCAATCTAAAGATCCCTTTACGCTGCGATTCCTGGACAACTGCATTGGGCGGCTGGCTTTGTATATATGTGGGTGACAAACAGTTGCTTAGTACCACGCGCGCGTATATTCCATTCACTACAGGGTTAGCACATTGTTGCGTTATGTGATTTTTCTGAATGCAGCGGAATTTCACAATTCCTACATGTTTTCATCCGGCTGTGACTTAATTGTTGACATAAAACCTTAGCTTTTTCCTCCGCCTCCCCGTTACAATATTAGTCGTTTTTTCGTGTAGTTTCCCACGCCTTTCGCCGCTCCATTTATTCACATCTAATAACACTTGTCCATCACTGCCGTCGTTTCTTTTAAGATTTTAATGACCACCAAGCGTGTTTTATCTTCTGTTTTAGAATGACATCGATGTTCGAGAATCGAAAATCAACACTTGCCGAACCAGTGCAAACTCCCCGAAAGCAGCCACCTCACTAGCCCCAGTGGCTTCTCCCTCAAAAAATACCTTAAAAACCCGGGCGTCACCCAATGTTCAGTTGGAATCTACAACTAAATCTTCATCATCCACCCAAGTCGCTAAGCGACCAGCCGTAGAATGGAACACGTTGCCTTCTACTCCCGTCATTTATCAATGTCCTCACTGCCCCCGTAAACTGAGGCACTCAAAGTTACTGGCCGCTCATATTGCCAACTATCACAAAAGCGCGCAAGATGCTTCCAAACCCTCACCGAGTGGGCCTGCGCTTACCAGAGCCGATAAACAAGCTTCCACCACTGCCGAGTGCACTCGGTCCACTTCACTCACGACTTCCATCAAACCGGAGTCAACGAATTCCTCGACTTCAAGGTATAGTTTATTCCAACTGCGTGTACTACAGCGCTTTTTGCTTGCCTATATTATGTCTCGTGATTTATGGCAGGAGGCATCCGCTACCTTTAGAACAGCCGGAACGTTCACAAAGGAAAATAATTCTGCTTTTGATCGTGTATATATCATATGGCTTTCTGAATCGACTTAGTCGTCTACTTGGTTTAACATATCTGCACTTAGTGTTAGTTGATTTATGTGTACACTCAGATACCCAAAAGACTGATCTCCGATCCGTTGTTATATGAGTCACATACTAAGTGTTCAGAATGCCAATTCAAAGGGTGAAAAAGTTTTACTGAGCCATTGGGAGATTTTGCTGGCCATTTGGTAGTGAGAATAGTTGGCACATGTTAAGAACTCCAACGCCGATTCCGTTGATCGTACTTCTCAGCATCGAGCAAGTTGAATTGTTACCGATATTTCTCTTCATTCACAGTGTGGTTTAGACGAACTTGTGCGTTGGCTCTCAACCAGATCACTTAACCTTAATGCTTCGAAATGTACTGATGTAACATTTTCATTTCTCCACCCTGACAAATTGCGAATACTTTAGTTGACTCTCCTCTATTAAATGTGTAGGACAAAATCATGCATATTTCATCCACTGTCAATTATCTCGGTGTCTATTTTTCACAAATTCTCTTGGTCCATGCACATTTTGGAGACCTTTCACAGGGTCAGAAGGTTATCTTTTTATGCCTCTCCACTTAAGAAGTTCTCCGTACCGCGAAGTATAATTTTGAGATGTGTAACTGCATGTTTACTACCCGACTGGTTGTACTGTTCCCCAGTCATGTTCTCCGAACTACTGCTGAAGAACTTTCTTTTGATTGCACGCTTGATTAAACATATATCTAGATGTGGTGGCCGGCCTAGAGATTTCATAGTTGCTTTTATTGCTCGTAAGCATTCTGGCGCTTGCATGAGTTTTTCTTCTAAAGTCCTGAGTGACCGTTTTCATCCGCTACCTAACGCTCACAAACGTTGTCTGTCACACGCTCAAAATTTGGAAATTTATTCTCTCGCACTTCTTCGTATCGTAACACAATCTTGCCTTATTTGTCACGCTTTCTTGTCAACCCTATGAAAGTCACAAATGCTTTGCACATGCGGTTGCTTGAATCACATCCACCCACATTTGACTATTTAATTATTCAATCTGTGTTTATATATTTTTAACTGGTCCCATTCATTTAATGTATCCGCAGTGATAGGGTAAACGCTATTAATGCACCTATTTAGGTGTATAAAGCCCATTATGACTTGACTTACCTACCATTTACGAGTCCCCAGCCTATTTCTTATGCAAGATATTGCGCCTTTCCAATTGCTGCGACTGTTGCCTGCAGATTAAACTCAAACTGTTGGACACTGTTCCGTTTGGATTCTTATCTCTCTCTCTCGCATCTAGTTGGTGGTCAATCCTTTTCGCACCCAACATTGAAGCTCCTGTCGCTGCCAATAGTTGTGTTCATCCGGTCGTCTGCACACTCGAGCTGCCTTTTAACACTAAGACGCTGTGTCTGGGATAGCTTGCGTCATACTTCACCCTCGCATTTGAGTCACCTCCTTAAACAAGTAGTATCACACACTTGACGCTCATCTCATCATGGTGTGTTAGGTTTGGCTATCCAGCTATCGTTGGTGATAAAGTGCCTGCTCGCCCAATCACTTTAATTGCTGGTTCTGCAGACAGCTACTATTTGCTGGTTCAAACAAGGCACTCCGTCCTTACCGACACTGCCAATAAACTACGTCCTAGCTACCAGTTTGGGTGCGTCTAGTGTAGATGATTACCGAGGTTTCGCATGAGTAACAAGCAGTAGGCGCATCCACGATATACGCGTGTGTTTCGGCAATACATGTCGCATCTAAAGCCACTAGACTTTACCACAATTCAGGGACACCGTCATTTGGCTTCACATACTTATGGTTAGTACACAATGGAAGAGTGTGCGCCGAATTCGGGGCAGTCGTAGTTCCTACTCTCGTCTCTTAGTTGTACTCTTTCGAGATCGCACGAAATGTGGGGGTTATCGGTGGTCCTGCGCCGGCCATTTATTACCACTCTTTTGGTTTCTTTCTTTCTCGTGGCCGCAAGTGACCACGGTTATAGACAATTGGGAAGCAACCCTCATCAACTGTAGAGCTGTCAATTGTACTACGTTAATAGATTACCCTTGTACAACCGTTAGCAGCTGCGTGGCGGTAGACACTTCTTGGAGCACCAAGAGCGTTGATTTCCGTGTTTTTCACTGGCATATGTACGACACAGCAAACTTGTCACATTAACGATGATTGTCTTTTTAACGTGGTTATCACTCTCATCTTTGCAACTTTCAACCCCGCACGTGGTACCCATGTGTCTTTTCATTGTTGGGCATTTTTCTGAACTGTTTCTGCAATAGTTCATGATCCCCACAACTCAGCATTTTTCAGATCATTCAGTTAATTCCCCTGCCCTCATTTAATGCTCAGCTAACTTTGTAGCAGCCATTGTGGTACCATGTTACTCCACTTGCGGAAAGCCGCATCGCTTCTTGAGTTGTTTTTTTTTTGGTTAAATAGATTATTCGTTTCATGCTGTCATATTCTACCGATAGTACACTCTGATCGATTTCTGTGCCAAAAGCCTGTTTCTAGTCAACGTGACCAACTCTCTAACCCTTCTTTTGACTAATCGCCACTGATCCTCAAGTGCTGTTCTTGTGTCAGATGACCACAATTTCCACCTTTCTTTTAAGTAGTAAGCAGTGAACTCGGAGAATTCATGTAGCCCGAAAGATGGATGAAGGTACTGTGTTGTTCTTTGGGTCGCATAAAAACCGCTGCTGAAGTGGCACTAGTGTTGTCATCTAACCTGGTGATAAAACGGCTGCAACGAGTCACAGCTAGGGGAACAATGCGGAATTTTCACTGAGTCTGGAATTCTACACCGATCTTGTGGCCTTCATTATTACCTTATCGGGCTATCCTCCCATTGGCGTCCGTAGTCATATCGCCCAGCTGCCCCTTTCACCGATGATCTCTTTCACCTTGTTTACGGACACGGCAGCATTAACTGGTGGGGGCACTTCAACTAACCCTTCATCAGTACCCGCAACAGATTGTGTGCCTCAAGTCACCAACTTTGTCTAGGACCCTAAACCTATTTAACCCCGGATCTGCTGTACTTCACCTCTTGGCTCGTGTTTATTTATCGAGCAAAAAATTGACTTTGCCAAGTGGATGTCTTCTCTTTTTGTTTACCGCTTATCAGAAACTCGTTTCGACAAGCTCACAGATTCGTTAAGCTCAACGCAGTTGTTTCGAAAATGTCCGCTGGCGATCATTCTGGTCAATTTCTACACAAGCGTCTCTGTTATTCATGTTACTTGTGGACTGCTGCGCGTCCGTCAGAAGAGTTTGAATCCGCCGAAGCCACTTTGCTCAACTTTGTCAAGTTACATGTCTACTTTCTAAGCACAGAGCTTCGGTGATCCAAGTTGCTTACACAAGCGCTGTCTGAATATTCTTATTATTATCGTTATTAGAATACAGCGGTTGATGGGTAGGGAAAGTAGACGAAAGTAGAGAAATAAGGTGAAGATTAAAATCCTGATCGTTCTAAGGCTTTGGAGTACCCATCATAGGTTTCAGTTGGGACACGGGGTCTCAATTTAGAGCTCATTCTACTCGACGAGTTCACAATCCTCATTGAGTGTGTTAAACGTTTGAAGCAACGGAGAACATCAAGAACACCGTTTCTATCCGGAATCAGATGGCTACCTGTTACGCCGAGTGAAATCGGGAGTGATTACGGAATGTATCGAATGACCAATGAGACATGCATGTGTACAGGCGTTTGCTAAATAATCAAGCAGCAGTATGCGCTGGGTTCTAAGCCGGCGTTTGATTAACCGGGGGGAGCATGGGCCAGGGAGTGCGATGGAGGTATAGGACGAATCATACACACGCGCACGCATGCACTGCGCTGTCGGCCGAGCTACGCTTATGCTACCGACTGGCTACGCATCGCTAACTCTCGTTTCCTCACCTTTGCAAGTCGGCGAGCTCCAATTTGCAAATGTGTTGCAATCTTTTGCACCGCTTTTATTTCTTGTTTCCCGGACTACTGCAATCTTTGCAATATACAGCAACTTGTACCGGGTCATGACCTCTTCTTGAAAGCAAACCATCACCCAGCAATAAGTTGGATACACCACCTCATTCTAAGTCCCACCTTATATTGCTTTTTTATGGCCGATGTACCTTGCTGTTCTCAGCTCTATATTCCCCACTCTCTCTTCGCCCTGAACGTATTCTCCTGACCCGGCATACGTGTCTTCAGGAGTGCTTGCACGTAGTTAAATAACTCGTATGCTCTTTCTTAATCTTTCATCCACACCGCAGAACCTCTTTAGACAACCGCACACCAATTAAATTGGCCCGCCTACTCGCTTGTTATCCCTGTGACACGCGTTCTGCCGTGTCGGATACTCAATCTGGCCTAGTGCAGTGTCAGAGTTGTCTAAACTGGATGCACCAAAAGTGCTACCGAACACAGTCCTCTTTTGGCGTCGATGTGAAACCGATTGCAGATTCCGAACGCAATTTCTTTTGCGATGGCTGCATGCTGACCACTCGCCCCGCGCGTCGTTCCCGTGCAGGCGAGCTCCACCTGAAGTCTCTATGTAATGCAGAAGTGTCTCGGGACAAATCACCAACTCAGCGTACTGCACACGAACTGGTATCTGACACAATGAATCTTCTCAATTGGTGCTATCATTTGCGACCACTAGTTTCAACTGGCTGGAATATCTTGAGCGGCACTAAGTTGCCCTCTCCGTCTCCTTCTAATCCCAGCCACCAGATGGCCCATCCGGAACTAACCCCCATACCGAAACCGCATGTCAGGGTCAATTCGACTACCGTTGTGAAGTCAAAACTGCCCTCTGAAACTCAGGATCGTCCGACAAACAATGAACAAGTAAACAGTGAGTGCTAATGCATTACTTTATGCGTACTGCGACTTACTATTTGATTGTGCCGCTGCTTTACATCCATTCAATTCAATTTAATTTTGTCCTACCGGTGAGATGCACGTTGAGTTTTTGACTTACCACGGCAATGATCACGGATCGCTCTCCTTGGTGAATACAACTCGTGTAGTGCTCTTCTTTTTCACACTTTCTAATCAGACCGTGTATATGAAGTCTAGTTGCTAATTCCTTTGGGAAACAAATTGGTTGATTAACCTTGCTTGTGCTAGTTCCCTCCAATCTATCCATAATTTGGATGGAAAATATTGGGAATTATTTCTATTTTGGTTTGTCTCCTTCCCTCTTCACCGTTGCGTTTACTGACCCTCATACATTATGGTTCAGATGTTAACATGGTCGCAAACTTTGGCAACCTGAATACTGAGCACAGAGGACGAGAAGATAAAAATCTGTATTGCTTCATCATAGCTGACTCGGGCACATGCGCGGAATCAGGTCGCTGATACCTGCGCGGTGGCAGCATATTGCCGCTGCACTACATCTTATCCAGGTGCGATGCGCTCCCTATACCTGTAGTCCGTAAAGTGGTCGTCAAGGGATCTCTTAAATTCCGACACTTATTTCGCCTCGACTATTGTCTCATGCGACTTGTTCCAATATTTCACCCCTCGACGCTTGAAGCATAGAGGGTGAGCGATGCACTTTAAATCCGGTACCACTGGTTTCTACCGGTGTCCGCGTGTGCTGTTTGGTGCACGAAAGTGCAGCAGCGGCTTCAACATAGGGAAGTTGCCCAGGTGCATTATCCGGTGCCGTAAACTGGAAATGAGCCGGATCGCTACATGCTGGACCCGTTCCAGTCTCTGCGCCCCACCTATTGTGATCGGGCAATAGGTGAGTGAGCCGTACTCAAACATCGGTCTTATTATGGAAGAATAGACGGGTGGCAATCTCTTCAGACCAAGTGCAGAAGCTGCGTCCAATTGCCCAAAGCAGGCGTAGCCTGTTTGCGTACAGTCTGCTCGTGTTGTACACAGACTTCAGATCAGAGCGTGAGAGTGCGCCTAGATCCTTTACGGAACTGGTGGGATGCAGCGGATGGCCGGTCAGAGTGTTCGCACGCCCATCACCAGCCCTCCCCAGGCTCATAAACGAGGACTTGTCCGTGTTGACCGGTAGGTCAACCTCTGCAGACCACCGGGATAGGCGGTCGAGGTCCTGCTGAAGGACGTCACAGTCGCCGGGAGAATCAATAATCCTTCAAATCTTCAGGTCGTCCACAAATAATGCGCAGGGCGACCGAAGAAGCTGTGGTACTTCGTTGATGTGAACCAGAAATGAAATGGGCCCCAGTACTGTGCGTTGAGGTACGTCGCTAGTGGACGGGTACCATTCCTTTAGCTGGTCATCCACCTGTTCCCGCCATCTTCTCCCATTGAGGAAGTCACTGATCCACTGGTGCAATGCGCCACCGACACCACACATTCTCAGCTTGTGAAGCAGGATCTCATGGTTCAGTATATCGAAAGCTTTACTGATATCAATGTAGATGACATCCACTGGCTTCCTCCGATTCAAAACTTGCAACCATTCCTGCCGCGTCAACAGCAGGTTGGTTATGCACGAACGGCCCTTCATGAAGCCGTGTTGTGTCGGCGTTAGGGGATCTTTCGACTCCAGCAGCTGGAGAAGACCCATTTTCACAACCCTTTCGAGCACTTTCGTCAAAACTGTGGAACAAATCGACCGGTATTTGTCCACATTGCGTGGGTTATCACTTTTTGGAATTGGCTCTACTACCGAGTATTTCCAGTCGCTCGGCAATGCATCCTCGGACAGCGTTCTGTTGAACAGATCCGTCACGGCAGGCGAGATGTTGGCCGAGTGAAGTCCATCGGGTCCGGCAGGTTTCGTGTCGTCAAGCCTGGCGAGTAGACTGCGGATATCTTCTACACCGCAATCCAGGCCATCGAGTTCAGTTAGGGCTGCACACGTCGAGCTCGGCATAGGCACATACCCACTTGCGCCAATGCGGGCGCACGTTCAGTGCTGGTGGTCAGAGGCTGTCCATCAGTGCCCTCTAACACAGCTACGTCACTTGCCGGCCTCAGGCGCCGCTTCACATAAACGACAATCTTTTAGGGTGCCGCCTTCGCTGAGGTTACAAGCTTCTCTTCGAACTGCCGACGTTTTCGTGCTTTTGCTCCGTTGCATATATTCCGCTGGCTTTTGTACGCCTCATAATTGTCGACAGAGCCAGACACGAGGAATTTATTCCACAATACACGTCGCCGTCGAGCCAATTGGCCATACTCTCCGTCGAACCAATGTGGTTTCACTGGTCCAGCTTTCCGATACTTGAGGGGTACGAAACGTGCGCACAACGATTGCACACCCACTTTTATAACAGACCAACAGGCTTCAACAGATGAATCCTGCGGCAGCGACCAGTCTACTTCAGTGGCGGCTCGATTTAGGTCATTGAAGTCAGTCTTTCAATAATTGTAGGACGGCTCCGGCGGACGCGAGTAGAGCAGCGGCAGCTCTATGGTGGCTAACACCATCATTTGGTCACTAGCTGCCGGTGGATCCAGAATCTGTATTTCATGTACACGTTCCTCGCAACTCGTTAGTAGTAGGTCCAGACACGTCGGAGCGAAATGCGGTGTAACGCGTGTCGGTTGGCATACATGTTGTGCTGTTCCAGTTTCAAATACCATTTCCGCAAACTGCGCCTCGATCTCACAATGCCCGGGGGAAGTTGAACCTCAGGCCATCGTATTCGAGGAAAGTTAATATCACCCATAAGCAGTAAATGGGACCGACTTATGTCATTATACACATTAGCTAAAGGTAGGAAACATCTCAGCTACTGTACTGCAATAGATAATGGAAAAACAGGGGAAATGCAACAGGTTCAAGCTAGCTGAGCTAACGGTAACGGATGGGCATCGTTCCGGTAAGCTACCAGCCGGCTACTATGCAGCAAAAAAATTGCAAAATTATATAACGCTAAATAGTGAGATCGTGTTTGGAGGGGGTGGGACATAGCAACTTACAGCACGAAAGCCACTGAGGTAGGCTCCTAGCCCTATCAGCAAGTGTGTCCAACCAAACGTGTTCATCGTCTTTCGGACCCCAACCAGGGAGCCGAGACGCTCCAACCGAGGCCAGCTCCGGAGTGAGGGTCTTCATTCCTCTGGACCAAGTCATCGCTTGGCCACCCCTCCTCCTCTTCCATCCACACCCCCGGCGCGCAAACAACACACGTCGCGGAAGTCGGTGGGCTGGCATGCGTAACACGTGGCCGAGCCACCGGAGCCTGGTGCGTGAAATAACGTTGCTGAGCGGTTCATTTCCTTTTTCTGTGCCATAAACAAGGCTTCGAACATGCTCGTTGCTCACGCGCTGTTCCCACCAGATGTGAGCTGAATTTCGAAGGCACCGTTGGTCGAACGTAACTAGCCTCTTCAGGTCCGCTGCTGTAAGGGGGCCAGGTTTCACAACCGTACAGTAGGGTCGAACGTACCGCTACATTGTACACTCTACCCTTCAGGGCGAGAGTGATGTCGCGTCGCCGCCATAGGTGGCGAAGACTAGCAAAATCACTTCTAGCTTTTGCTATGCGGTTCGTGACCTCGTCTTCAATTCCAAAGGCGCTGATACAACTTCCCAGTTAGTTGAGTTTCTGTACAACTTCTAGCTGATCCCCACCAAGGGTCAGCATAGAAGCGGTCTAGGCCAATCTTAGGGGAACGCTTTGCACTTTGAGGGTGCAAAGCAAAGCCCGAAGTGACGAACAGTCAGTGTTAATCTGTCCATTGCCAATTGGCACGTTTTTGAACTGCCACAAATTAGGGCAATATCGCCAGCATACTCCAAGTCAAGAAGTCGTTCTCCTGGGAGGATATCCATACCTTCTAAGTCATGTACCGTGAACGCGATTTCCATGATTTCGTCAATAGCGAAGTTGAAGAGGGAAAGTGACAGCGGGCATCCTTGTCTCACACCGCTGGAGATATTAAAGGGCGACGACAGCATGCCGTAGGCCCTCACTCTGCCTGAGCTGCGCGCGTATACTGCTCGGATAATATTTACATATTTCTCAGGTACACCTTTCCTTAGTAGACAGTCCCAAAGTGCACGTCTATCCACCGAATCGAATGCACCTTTGATATCGAGGACCACGACAACGGTGGACCGCCAATATATGTGACGGTGCTCCAACAACTGACGCAAAATGAAGGTGTGGTCAATCCTGCCACGACCTTGACGAAACCCGCCTGGCTCTTCACGAGCGTCAGTCAGTCTGTGAAGGATGACGGAGGCAAGCCGCATTCCGATCGTGAGCATCCCTTGAAAACTGGGACTATGACGGGGCGGCTCCAGTCGGTTGGAACAGTTTCCTGCTCCCACAGTTCCACTAGTTACTCGTGTAAATCATCCACAAGTGCAAGTCCCCCGAATTTGAAGAGGGCTGGAGAAAGGTCATCTAGTCCCTCGGTTTTATTTAACTTCAAAGTTCAATCTCACGTTCGACTTCTGAGCGAGGTGTTAGATCCAAAGGGACAGTCCACGGAGCGGGGCGATCAGTGGCCAGCGAGAAATCTAACAATTCCGGCCGATTAAATTGCTTTTCAAAGTGCTCAGCCCAACGCTCCAAGCGTTTTGACAAGTTGTTGATAGGCTGTCCACTCTCGTCACGTATAGTTTCACTAACACCAGGTCTCCTGCTGCCCGTTTTCCGTATCAGCCGGAATAACTTACGATGGTTGCCCACGGCAGCAGTCACTTCCATCTCCGAAGCACGATGAGACCACCAGGATTTGCGGTCTCTCTTCAGGCTAGCATGGCGTTTTGCCCGGAGCTCTTTACAAGTTTCATTGTGTTCGCTTCCAGCCGGAACATGCCGGCGAGCATTGATAAGTTGCAGAGACTGTGAAGAGACCCGATGTTTATGTTGGCGATTAGATATACCACATGAGGATTTTCCTGCTGTTAGTAAATTCTGGTGTATATGTGACCAGTGAGCTTCAACTGCATCCCGTGAGCGCTTGCTCAACTCGTACGTCAGCGTACTTTGATAGGCATTCAGAACAGCTGGTTTCGCCAGTTGGCTGGTGTCAATGCGATCACAACGTCGTCTTGGGCGTCCGCCAAAGCACATCCGCAGGTCAGCACATATAAGTGTATGGTCGGTGTCCACACCTGCGCTCCAAATCGAGCGACAGTTCTGGACGTAGCCTCTCCATCGGTAACTTATTGCAATGTGGTCGATTTGCGTCCATAGCTGGTTCGAGGCTGGTGAGCGCTGAGTCACCGTCCAGCAGGTGCTGTGTCGGTAGTTAGTGCTCGCAAGAAATAAGCGGGCATCTTCACAAATAAAGTAACCGCTTACCGTTGTCATTACGGGAGCCTACACCATGTTGGCCGCCCAGATGCAGTTCATCAATATATAATTTTCCAACTTGCGAGTTCAGATCCCCCGCCAGCACAACAGTGTCCGAGCTTCTTCCGTGGCGTAAGAGCTCGTTCAGTTGGCGATAGAAGTCGTCTTTTGCCGAATCATCACTAGTTTGTGGGTGCATAGGAAGCGATGACGAATAGGCACCTGTTAGTCCCGTGCGGCTTCGAAGCTTTGAACGAGCCAGCCAATCGGACCGCACACATCCGGCTACTAATTGGAATCCAATCAACCAGAGTAGCTTCAGCCCGGGGACTCAGGGCAATACCAACACCGGCTTGGCCGGTGCTCGAAGCTACATCGTCACCAAATATGCGCAATGAGAATGTGCTGCTAGTGTCACCTGAAGGGGAATGCAAAGTGAGCACTGTGTTCGAGTCTTGCAGGCGGGTCTCTGATAAGCAGCAGATATTGATCGAGAGGGTCTCTAATGTTCAGGCAAGTGCTGCCTGTTGACCGATCTGAAGCAATGTGCTAACATTGAGATATGCCAAATGGAAGCCGATGAACTGGGCTTGACCGCTTGCTTGGACGTGGGCCTGTTGGTAGGGCAGGAATGACGCTCGGCGTTCACATGTGAGTTGAAACTAAAAAACAAGTGACTATTGAAGCAAGGTGGGATAGGGTCAAGAAGTGGGGGTTGAAAACAGGGAAGATAAAAGTGAAACTGGAACGGGACGATAAGAGTGAAAAAGCGTAAGAGGGCGAATAAGAAGACGGGAGGGCTTGAGCAGTAGCATCCAAGCCCCTATCCACCCTTCTCGATGCAGCAGATAGGGCACCGTTGATTATCCTCTGCGGTGGCCAGAGCATCAGGAAATTGTTTGAGATATGATGCATAGTATTGCTAGGGCAGGATACTGTCAGGTTACCCAGGCCTAGACAAGAACGATTAGCGTTCTCAACCAAAGCCTTTGGTTCAAAAACCTGACCGCAAGGCAGCGGGTTTGGCGTTGGACTACAAGGAGCCCGTTTTATGAAATAAGGAGCCACCCTTATTCTCACCCCCAACTTGGAGGACCAGGAGGCTGAGTTTGACTAGCCTCTATCCATTGACCAATCTGGTATGAGTGGATCTGAAGGTACAAAGAAAGCACCACCAAGCGTACTTCAATGGATCTCTGAAGCACACAAACCATCGCACCACGGTAAGGTGCAGTCTCATTGCGATGGTCGACTCATGTAGCTTCTGGCATGCGGCAACCAATCCAGGCATCGACTTCGCGAGTTGCAATAAGCCGCGCCCACAAACAGCTCACTCTGTCTCAGGCGGATCAAGCATCGTAACTGTTTGCGCAGGCCATCTTCGCTGCGGTAGGTGTGTACCAGTCTCCCGCACAGCGAGGACCGAATGTACAACAGCACACCGACTTGATTGTTTGATAGTCTGTCGCATCGGAAGCACGAGTAGCTACTGATCTGGACTTCCTGAGTAGTGACCTCAGGATATACCCAGGTTTTGGCCAGTCATAGTACTTCCGGACGACGAGAGGCAACGAAGTGAAATACATCGTCACGTTTGTTCATTAAATTATCAACATTTATGAATGCTACGCGCAGGCTGCGGTAGGAACCGGCGGACGCGCATGAAGCCTCATCGATCTGTTGATCCGGGTTCGGCGGACCCGGGGAACTACCCGAAAATTTACGATGTGGAGATTGGTTTCTCTATTGTCAGTCCGCCATTTCAACTCCATGATAGCGGACTTTCTCTCTGTCCGACGGATTCAACTCGGGACGAATATGGATCCGTAGACCTCTTAGCCTACCGAGACTGGTTAGTATCAGCCTCAGACTGGTTGCATCGACAAACGTGACTCGCAGCAGCCGGGACTTCCCCTCCTCTCTTCTTCAAAGACGGCTGATTTGCTTCACCTGCAACTCCTGTTCATTTACGTCGAGAAACCTATCAATCAGGCTGCGGAAAATCTACCTCGTGATCATAATGAGCCTGATGACTAGCATCCGTCGACTCAGCCGCGTGAAATATCACGCCGCTGATTGCTGGCATTTGTCCTCTCCTTTTTGCTTCGTTGCATTCTCCATTGGCCTTCATCGCCTGCGCTATCGCACACCGGTATGTTAGTGTCCGTAGGACGCAACACAGGCACGCCAGCTGAGTCTTCAGCAACGAGTGGACATCGCTCTGGAGAGCCTGCAGCTGGTGGGCAGGTGAACTCGTTCGAACATAGAGGTGGCTGGGTTTCCGCTTGCTTGGATGAACCCACGGAGCTCCTCCCGATGGAACGTTTCGCCCGTCTTGTAAGCTCGCCCGGCTTGTCTGCTATTTGTGACTGCACAGTGACTCGGCATTTCTTGCACAATATTTGGACAAAGTCATGCTGGATTTAACGCAGTAGTTTAACATGATTTAAAGATAAATCAATATACGAAATGTAGAGTTTCACACCACACATAAGGCAAGTAACAGTACTGGCTCTATGCCCAACTATTTTGCAACAAGTGCCTGATTGCCAAGCTGGACGAGCACCTACGAACCTGGACAGTCAACTGAAGCTACCATTGTTTTCTAGTATTTTCGGTTGGTGCATACTGCATATCGATTGTGGTCTGTAATTTAAATAGATCATCTTGTATGTTGGTTTCACGGGTCTGCGCTTACTCTCCGACTGTCTGCAAAATTACATCCCATACTACTAAACGAGGTCTACGAAACGTGGTTTGTCAAGACGCTATCCCCGAGTTCCTGTTGCCTAACCTTGAGTTGCACATATCTTTTGCATTTCTCCCAGGATTCTACATGGAGCTGAGGGCTAGTATGACTGATCCAGACTCTGAACATCACCCTTCTCGTCTCTCTTTGACGAAAGAACTGCCCGATGAGCCTCCCACGACAGATTCTGAAATCCCTTCTATCTGTTGGTCTCTGTGTGAGGAGTCAGTTGGAGTCGATGCCTCTACCGTGGACGCCAACATAAGCAATCAAGTCCTAAGCGGGTTTTTGCAGGACTTAGGACCCAATGTCATCTCCGACCTGGTGGACTTGGGGTCAGATGCAATTGCCGGCGATGTAGAAGGCCCAGAGGTGGATTGCTTTCTCCGTCGTCATGGTCCCGATACATCCGTTTCTCAGCCATCAGGTTGTCCGCAAGATACTACGCCCTGCACGTCTGTACCGGATACTCCCACGAAAGGTCTCGGTCCTCTGCTTTCTTCCCCAGGCGGTGTAGCAACTCTTCTACAAGCCGCTATTTCCAACACCCTCCCTATTTCTAATCGACTGGATTTTATCCCCCCACACTTTGGAGTGGACACCATAGCGAACATCCCCGACGACCATGCTGACACAAAAAATGTTCACGCTGTTGCTCCAACCACGGTCTCCACTCCTTCCTGCAGTCTCGCAGTTGATCAACCCAACGACTGGTACAGTATACCTTTTGTTTTTACGAATCCGACCACCAGTCTCACTCGATATTTTTTGGCAATTTTCATTTTTGCTTAGGGTCACCGTTTGCTTTCTGTATGCTCAGTACCCAGATTAAACGAGTTTCTTAGACTTATTTTAAATTTTGATGCAGTACGTTCAATAGGGTGTCAACCTCGCTCTCTTTCTTTTAAACGTTAAAACTGGATACACCTAAACCATGTGTTTTCTGCTGACAGAATCGCGAGGACTTCATACTCTCATCTCGGTGCTGCTTTGCCGGCCCGTAGCCTAAAGGTAACCAGCTTGCTTTGTAATCTCACGTTGCCGGTTCCAGCCTGTGTAGGGACAAGGCGACCGTCGCAGTATCGTTAGCTCACATGCAACTAGTGATGATTGCGCGGTAGCAAAGCGTTGGTACTGCGTAGCGGCGTACTGCTGATGTTTTTCTCTTTCTGTTTGTGCTGCCTTCGCATTCGTCTGCACACTGGTCCGGATGTGTGGAGCATTTCAATGCCAGGACTAAAAGTCTGGCTCCACAAGCGCTGTGTTCATATTCCGCGTGCAGGGCATTCACATGCGCTCTTGTTGTTGCGATCTTATCCACTACCCAAATACTCTGCCCCACTGATATTCTGTTCTTCGCGTAGCACAAACCGGCTGTCTTCGATTTCAGCTGCGCTAATTCTGGCCTTGCCTTGCATCCGAATTGCTCTAGCGCAGTGTTTTAACGTTCGTAAAACAGTGCTCGTATATTAGTTTATTTCTTTTTTGTTCGTCCATTCTTTCTCGATCGACCATTTTTCTCTCCCGTTTTGCCCCTTTTTAATGATCATTATCGTGACAGAATGGGTTAGAACGCCGCACTTCGGTGCGTGAGACTTGCTTGGTCAACTAAATCTCTAACTCATCTCGCTTGTGGTTTATGCTTTGATCTTGTTATCCCTGCCGATGAGCAGCAGACTGCGTGATCCCCTGCCTTCATTCTAAGCAATATTGTTGCATATCATTTGGTTGACTCGATTTGATCATTCGTATGTGTCCCCACTGTGGGGTCCCACGGTGAAATCTAATCCGCAGCATCCTCCGTTTCTTGTCACCTTTTATGTTATGTCCCTCTAACTGGTTTACCTTCAATCCACCAATAGTTCACCGGGATGGTTAAGCGCACATCTGCCGTATGGGGTTGCACTTGTCTCGTCCGCACCGTTTTTATTTCCATTCGTGCTCGCACTGGTTATGCATTGTCACATTCACCACAACCATCACCACCATCACTCATCGGCTTCCCTCCTCAGGAGACTCTATAGCAAATTCATGAACCACTGATAATCTCAGTTCTCTTGCAACTGGGGGTGACAACTGTCCAGCAGGTCCCAACCAACACGAGCATCGGTTCGCCTTAATCTACTCTGGACCCCGTCATACGAATGGCGTCTACATATCACTGTCTCTTTAGCTTACTCACCGGTGTTTGACTGCTGCCTCGCATCCGCACTGCTGCTGCTGCTGCTGCTGCAGTGTCAACGCATGGTGTAACGTCCAGTGCTCCGGACGCGCGTACACTCGGTAGTGTCAGTGTCACTTACCAAAGCTTGTCGCTGCAGTACGTCTAATGCGATCTTTGTCCCACATCACTGACGCAACAGTTTAAGCTTTCTATCATTAAGGACTTACATCCTTATGCAAAAGTTGATAGACCAGTCTAATGGCTTAAAGTGAACAGAAACCCGCTGCCATCAGTGTAATCAGTTAGAACAATATTCCCCTACAATTTTTCCCTGACACTCAATGTCTAAGTCCACGCCAGTGTTTCTACCAGTCTAGACTACCGACAGATCCAGTTGAAAGCCTTACATTGTTAACCTCCTATCGCTCTTCGTCATATTCAGTTATCCTAGTGAGGTTTTCGCACACTCTCATCAGAATCCCATTTTGTTACACTTGTCTCTAGCCCTCCGCCAACTGAGTATCCTGTCAGTAATCCTATCGCGTCCATCCCATCCATCCCCACAACCTCGTCTGGGCATTCGCTATTGGACGCAGCCGCCACGACATCTATGTATCCTGATGCAACTATGGTCGTCAGCAATTCACCGTGCCTTCACGCATCTTCAGAAGCTACCGTTGCAGGTTAGTCCTTTTGTGGAATTCGATAAGCTGTTTTCTGCACTTACTTACATCTGGGTTCATGACTGGCCATCATCAGCGGTGGAACTCCGCACGGACACTTCGTCATCTTGCACTCTTCACTCGTGGAAGACGATAAGGATTAGTCAAAAGAGTGAAGGGGCCATTAGGCGAGCATTCGCGACGATTTGCCTTTGCCTTACCGACATTACACTGTTACAGCTAGCGGCTTATCATGTGAAGCGATGGTAGAAACTACGAGATAGGTTCCTTTGCGCCTTTGATTACCTCATGGCGTAATCTTACCCCACAGGTTGTTCTGCACCATACACACTAAGCGCTCCAGCAATCACATACACCCCCTGATAATGCGGTCACGAAGAAATGGGAATTGTTCAACTATCTCTGGCATCTCAGCTTTTGGTTCCATAGTAGCTATTGCCACTTTATGAATGCAGAGCTCATGCTAAAGGATAGAACTCTTCCAGAGAAGTTGTCTTTTGTCCAGCATGCTTCTCATGATTTCCAGATGGCCAAACGTTGCCGCTGACTTGATCCAAATTCGCCAGTCTTTGCCAGCTATATCTCACTTATTATTCCAAAGCGCATGGCAATCTGCCGTATAACTGAATTACATGAACACAAACCACTTGAAATCCTTATAAATTTCCTCGGAACCTCGTTTTATAAAACTTTATTAAAAAGAACAATGCGATCCATCTGGTCGAGAAATAAAACGCTAGAACCAAATAACGCGCACGTGATCATTCGGTTCTACATGTGGCGCTGCTCCATTACGTACAACAGGGTAAACCTCGTCTATGCAGGTCCACTCTGGTCTAAAACCCACCTGCTCCTTTCCACAACGCCATAGCAATTTTGTATGGAAGCCAGTAATTTTGCCATCACCAGTGTTAATAAAAAAAGTCGAGGCTGCTTCTCTTGAATATCATCAATACGATCTGCCCACTAGTTGGGTGAGACAATTCCCTCCTCCTCCTCCTATAGCTGTTCAGACTGACGAGTCAACTCATTACATAGGAACTTACTACCATCCTAAACCATGTGCGGTCGATTGAATTTGAGTCGGTAATGCGAAACCGTTTGCTAGTCCTGACCGCATTTCCAATCTCAGATTTAAATGATGCCTGTAAACTAACTGACAATGGTTTAACCTGAATCGCCCATGCTCGAACCAGCCAAAAGATGTCTCAAAACTCGGTCCTTCATGGACAGATGTTTGTTCAGCAAGATAGACTTGGCATAGTTGCCCCGCAATTCGTTTCGATGTATATAGCTGGGCTAACACCATTCCTGACGACGTTATTGCACCCATGAAATTTTTCTCTTTGTTCAATTAGACAAGCTCAGCGTAACATGACCAACTGTCATCCAATCAGCGGATCCAAATGAAAGGTGGGTTAAGCCTGGTGTCTCCATTCGCCGACTGTTCTCAGTTCGTGTCCGCCTGGCCATTCCCTTTGTCCCGCGGATCCGTCTAGTCACTCGGATTGCATACTCCCATCACAAGGATCAACAAGTTACCTGAGTTGTTGCAGGATGCGGTGATGCGTGATGGTTCAGGTGTTTGACTTGTGGACCGGTTACGTTTACACGCCTACACTCTTGTACACGTTCTGGGTTTTGGCAGTATCTCAACCCCCTTGCAACGCAAGAAGTTGCTTGACAACGAAGCATCGCTACAGAATGCTGGTGTACTGATACCTGAGCTACATTGAGAAACGACTCCCAAACTAACCAGACTGCGTTCCAAGTTTTAAGCGTGATTGCGAGTGCTACCCGCGACTCACTGCCTTCGATTAATTAGAAACCTATTTCTCCTCTTTTAATTTCCTGAGCTTTCCGGTTCCCATAGGCTTCCCGGTCGTATCACGGACCCCGTTAGCTCTTGCGCCACTTAGCGGATCTGGTAGAAAAGCACTCGATGTCAAATAGATTCCAACGGTTTTATCGACGTTTCGTATAGGTGTCGCCATGTGTCCTGGGGGCTGGTACCGCATAAACCATAGCAGCATGCATTGAAGCAGCAATCCGCGAGGAAATGCGAGAGCTGTTAACTAACATTGAAATTCCCTGGGTTGTTCTTCGACACACACAACACGGCGCTCGTTAGGCGAACCTCCTGTCTTAACCTTGTTAATCCAATCTTAGGCGCGCTATTTGACCTACCCATGGCAGTCATTACTACCATCATTTTGAAATCCCGTTTGTACCGTGTTTTAGTGACCGTGTGGTAAATACGTTCTGTTGATCGGAGTACTTGAGTTTTATTTTCTGGGTTGAGCATTTTCGTAGAACTTGATTATTGCTGATCGGAATAGCGCAAGAGGGAATATCTGATGCACCGAAACCATGACCTCAGAGTCCACCTCATTGGTGTCTGTGGTGTGATTTTCCTTATCCTTTCTCCTCCGTCCGTGATCCTATCCTAGAAAAGTGATAAAGACTATGTACAATAACTGATGAGTTTCCCACCTCTGGCTAACGTATGTAACGATAATGATGATGGTCTCAGAGAAATTAGGTGGTAACCCAGCCCACAAGGTATCTAGTTCTATTTGCCCGGCTACATGCTGCGATTGTTTCTGGGCCGCTACCCGAAGGGAATATCTCTTTTCCGCAAACTTCAAGGAAAATGGGCAACGAACGCAACTATGCTCAGGATTAGACCACGATCTGCAGTTGAAACTCGATCCACCTCAGCCAAAACTAATGGCGTTGCTACTAATTAGGGTTAAGGTGTTGATTTGCTCGCCAAGCTGAGCGATTTGATTGCAAATGTTTCGCCATCAGTCGAGAGAACATCTTCAGTGCGTTGCGTCAGCATCCACATAGCTTCAAGTAAATCTGGAGAAGGATACTGACGCCTACAGGGCTGGCCTTTACAAGTAATACAGTTGTACGTAGCCGAGCTTCACTCGGATCGGCTCCGTTTTGCGGTGCTCTGCCGGTTTTCAGACGGTTCTCATTGGTTGCTTAAAGTATGTTGGCTCCCTCGTGCTGTTCTGGGTAGGCGGTTACACAAGCTGCAACATTTTCCTAACTCAAGTTGCAGTTTCTAATCCGCCTGATTCCTTTCCTACTCAGTTGTTCATACGCAAGATCGAGTTCGATGCGCAGCTTGAGTGAATTCGCTGTAGAAAACCATGTCTCGAGAAATTCCCTTCCTTTTCTTGTTTTCATGCGTCAGAATCCCCGTTTTGGCCCGATCATACTTGTGTCACTCCTCATCGACGTGCGCTGAGATCAACACTAATGCGTAATGATTCCAGTAGGCTTGTTTGTGGATACTTCTCCCCTGTTTCTCCCGCATAATGTTTTTCAAAAATTCACTACTGTATTCAGTGGATGACATTCCGGCGTTCCTTCGCTTCTTTTTTTGGGTTAGACAGCCCTGTACAGTGACCTCCAGTTTGTGAGCTACCATCAGGTGGTGAGGCCTGAGGAGTTTGGCAGTCGTCTACGTCATTAATACGCGGTAAGACAATCCGTTTAGTCGTTCCCTGTGTAGGTGTAGCATTTGCACTCTTGCGGTGTAGGTGTGTTAGGATAAAACTGCCTGAGTACCCAGTGCACACGAAGGATGTCAACTGGTGTTCCCCTCCTTCTACTTTACTTCGGCGATATTGCAGGGGATTCAACTCTACGTAAGAGTCTGTATGCAACTCATTTGTGACATTTCCGCTGATTGTTCATGAAATTTAACATTTAGTCAGTGTGGATGTCTTTTCTGAAAACAACCGTCTGCAATTCTCCGTCCATTATCCTCATAGACAACATGTTCAAAAAGCGGATTCCGTCGACGTTCGGGGACCTAATGAGGTCAAGTATCAGCTCTTCCTCCATTGGTGTAGACAGCAGCGATGCTTGAAAGCATCTGAATTGAGCTTCTGAAGAGCTCGAACGACCCAATTGATAATTCATCTCTCGGGCACCATTTATGTCACAGTATGCATTGATGCGCTAACTTCGAGGCAGAATGCGTCACTGACATTGCTGCTTGCTTGGTGCATAGGCAAAAGCCACGGATAGGCAACATTTATCACTGTCCCTTGTGTTTGCCCCCTTTGATATTGTCAGCATGACGGCGTACAGTTATCAGTCCATGGGAGTGCATTTGACCAAGATAGATCCATCTGTGGGACTAGAGGGGATTCCCGGTTCAACTGATCTGTGTCCACCACCTCGTTACAATCATTTCCGCAAATCTGCGCCCTATCTCAATAAGGTTAGCTAGGTACAGTTAGGTTTGATAACTGCATGAGAGCTGTGAATTCTGGTTTCGAGGGTGCAACATACCTTCACGCTTTCCGTATCAAATGTGTGTATACAAGAGTAGTCTACTGTCCCATCTGTTTTAGAGTGTGAACTTTGAACGAGTATGATGACATGGATAAGCGTGGCCTGGTTAGCACATTTTACTCGCAAAAATCTACTGCGCAGTAGGGGCGATGGTTGCTGAGAGCCGTTTTCAACGACACTCCATCTGCCTGCATTATTTCGTCGGGTTATATGGGTTATGTGGATCGGGTGAAACAGGTGAATACAGAGAAAGCGCCACGTTGATGCTACCCGTTCGCTCATTTTATCCTATTGTATGCATTGGATAGGCCGACTATTTTGCAATTACACGATGACCGTTGTAAGATGTTGTTGAGGTTCAGTGCAGTATTCACGGTTGCTTATGGGCCAAACTGCATCCACGATACCGTAACCTAGGCAAGAGCTCGAGTATGTTTCTTGGCTAAATCCTATGGCTTTATGTCCAGCTTCAGGACAGTAGAAACCTGCTGATGGTTCACAGATTGAGTAGTTTCCACCTAGATGAGTGCTACTCTTGTCCCACTCCCTCACGTGGAAAACCATGGAACTGAGTTTGTCTGACTTCTAGCCACTGACGAATCTGATGGAGTTTGAATGTAGATTGCCCAAAAGCACCACTTGGTAACGTTCACTGAATCAGTGGCGCAATCAAACCTTCATGCTACTTTGATATCAGACTGCGTTTACGACCACTTTGTGGTGATAATCGGTTCCGCACATCCCTTCGCACTTCTCCAAAGAACTCAGGGCCGAACACGCTTCCTGCAGTCATCGATATGCATGCAAATCCCCACTCCCCAAAACTGTTGTGCCCTCAGCACCCGATACGCGTCACTGTTGAAACTGCTGAATTGTTTCACCTGAGCCTGGCTTCTGCGATTTCTTGGAATCAAACCACTGGTCTATTCACCTACTCATGGGCTGCGTTTTGTGGTGGTGTTGCGTCAATCATTTCTCTTTGTGTGATACCAATCCAATTACCACTAGCATGATCACTACACATTGGATATACCATAGATCTCTCGCGTTTGGGCGCCATCAATCGTTTCTGGCCTTACCACCCAGTGGTACGCTTCATTTGCACTTTTTTCTGCGATTGTACTTACGAGTGCCTCTATTTTTTCACCCAGGTGCACGCGTTACTGCTGTCTCAGAACACTTGTCTACCAACACCTCGACTTGCCTCGGTTCCACCGATGCGGATTGGCTCTCAGGCGGTATACCGAACGCCAAATCTCCCCGACTCTTCATGTTGCCACCTTTCACGTCCACCGATACATCATCGCACGTGCCTGGCAGATCTCTTCCCTCTAACTCCTCCGTTCTTGAAGATGCTCTCGGCTCAGTGAACCCCTTCAGCCTAGACATGGTCAGTGACACACTCACGCCAGACGAAGTGTCTGTTGTAAACGCAAATCTAAATCAACTGGACCAATTTGTTTTACTCCCGCTTGAAAGAGCCCTGACAGTTATGGAATCGCACCTGGACTTTATCACTAAGCAGGTTGATGTTCTCGAGCAAGACCAGGAGCGTTCAGGTACTTTGGCAAGGATGTCTACCGAACACAGTGAACTTACTGAGGACACAGCACTTGAACCAGATTCGTTCCTTTTGTCCTCTAGTTCCAACTCTCCATTCGGATCCTCCTCCTCGTTTTCTCTCAGCCCTTACGGAATGCGTCCGGATGAAGTCCCAGTGTCTTCCGAGCTCCCATCTTCGACTAACCCACTAGATCCTCCTTCGTCTCAACTTGTGTGTGACTCCACATCAAGTCGCTCACATGCGGCTAAACAAGCCGCCAGACAGCTGTACCGCCTCACTATGTTTAGACGGTTTCAACGTGAAGCGCACCTTAAATCCCGATCCATTCGTCATGATGTACCCCCACATAAAGGCCTCAACTTTTCTCGACAATCACCCACATCCGCTCGCCTCTTGAACGATCGTCTTTGACTGAGTGGCTTACCTTTTTGGACTAATATTGACACCCACCCCCTCATCACCGGTGCATTGGTTAGTCACATTGCAAGAGACACCCCTCGGAGATTATCCATGGTGTTTTCGCTTACTGTTTGTCTGTCAGTCACAGGAAATGTCTCCTTATTGTGTATCTTGCTCTCACATTTATGCGCCTCCACACCTTATCCCACTCTGTACATATGCCCTCTATGTGTTCAATTATTTTCAGTACCCTCCCATACCAGCTCCGTCCCATTCAGCTCTCTTTGTGTCATCTTTTGTTCATGCTTTGGTTATCCGGAAATTGTATATTTGTCTGACTTATCTCTACAGATAATCGGACCAGACAGTATTTGTGGTCTTCAGTGCTTTCTTTTTGGAATTGCGATATCAAACTCGGCTTCTGTTCAGGCATCTCTAACTGAGGTGGTCAGCTCATCATCGTCCCTCATCTGTTTGCCGCTGTTGATACATCTTTCGCTTGTTTCCAACTCACTCGCCCGGTTATCTATCCATCGTTAGAATCTCGTTGCAATTCTGATGCCTGGCTACATTTCCGAAATCTATAGGTTACGCTTATACCGCGGTAACACTACTTTCTTCCGTTGTTGCCCCGGGAGCCAATGCAGTGCTCTAACATGTTTTATGTGCGTTTTCTAGCCATGATATATATATATATATATATATATATATATATATATATATATATATATATATATATATATATATATATATATATATATAATAAGCTGGGGTAGTCCCTTACTGGGTAATTTCACACTTTTTCTAGTTATAGAACTTTTTCGTAAATAAAAGGTTGTTTTGGTCAATGCAGGATCCGTCCTTTTTAGTGAAATCATTGCCAGCTTCCCGTTAACATACGATCAGCACCATGCACAAGTGTTCAGCTAGAGATATAGACTACACGAGGTTTGCGGAGTCATCTACATCGAAATAGACATGTTGCACTTTTTAAAGGTTATAGTTGTCTTAAAACTCGTTATATTGCCAAAAATCGAGTAATGTACATTAATTTGGTTATAGTGTTAATACTTATTCATGTTTAAAATGTTTGTCTCATGAGCCGATTTTGCGTTCGTGAGTGACAAATTACTAACATGTTGAGGCAATTACGCACCCCCAAATTAAAAGTTTGTAGGGCAATTCCACATATCACGGTGTGCATTAAACCCAGGTTTGTTTCTGAACTTTTTGGATGTGAGTGGTCTACTATTGATTGCTTATCGAGTTTCAGAGTGATTCGCAATTACAAACGTAAGTAGATAGCATCCTACACAGTTGCAGTGAAACAAGTCGTTGCTCAAGTAAGAAAAGGTATCATGAGATACAAGAAAGCAGTCAAGTTGAAAAGGAGTCAGGTTGAGACCCCGTAAAAGGGAAAATAGCGAAACGGGAACTGGTAGAAAAATAGTTCTCACAGAAGCATAAGATGAAGAATTTTCCAGCTTGTTACAATTTGTTGCCCAGTGCGGGTTTGGATTCACTTGCACAGAAGCGATGGAAGTTGTGGGTGGTTTTCTTACTTTTGTTGGTCAAGCTAGGAATGTTCCTGGTCGAGATCAGTAATACAGTTTTTTATAGAGACATCCGGATCTGACTTGCCGAACTCCGAAACAGCTAAAAATATCAAAAGTACTGTTGGCTGCAAACAAACATACATTCGGAGAGGTGTTTCAACTGCTTACTGAAACTCTTACAATTAATGGCATTATGAATAGGCCCGAAAAAGTTTACAGCGTTGATGAGAGTGGGTTTCCACTCGACCCTTAGCGATTGAAAGTGATTTGGGAAAGGGGGATCAAAAACCTTTTTCCTGTCCCTGATGGCTCAGGTAGGGATTCCATCACAGTGGTAGGATGCGCTCGAGCTGATGGGACCATGCTTCCCCCATATATCATTTATGGGGCCAAAAGTCTAAGAGTTTCTTAGATGCAAAGTGGACCTGGCAATGATAGCTGCAGTGTCTCTGAAAAAGGTTGGTTGGGCAGTGCTTGTTTAGTGATTGGTTTATAAACCATTTCATCCCATTTATACCAGAAAGTAGACCTGTTCTGTTAATTGTTGATGGTCATGCTGCACATATGATTATTCAAGTCATTAGAGCAACAATTCAAAATGGAGTTATAATTATGAAACTTCCATTCAATTCAACTCGCGTGCTCCAACCTCTTGATGTGGATGTCTATGGACCAGTGGGCAGAACTTACCTACAGCCTTATCCAAAGAGCTATTTCCTGCTCTTCTGCAAAACTTATGGGACCTGCTCTAATAGGTGATCTACACGAGTTGCTAGTAAAACTTTGGGAGCAGGAGACAGTCCCGACAGACTGGAACCGCTCCGTCATTGTCCCAATTTTCAAGGGAGGCTCCCGTTTGGTATGTGGTAATCATAGAGGGATCAGTCTGATTTCGATTGCCTCTAAATTGCTTGCCTCTCTCATTCTCCACAGACTGACTGGCACTCGTGAAAGCCAAATTCGTGAAGAGCAAGCCGGATTTCGTCGAGGTCGGGGCTGCATCGACCACATCTTCACACTGCGTCAAGTGTTGGAGCACCGCCATGTTTATTGGCGACCCACCGTTGTCGTGTTTCTTGACATAAAAGGTGCCTTCGACTCAGTCGATCGATGTGCCCTTTGGGACTGTCTGTTGAGGAAAGGTGTGCCTGATAAATATGTAAACATTATCAAAGCGCTGTACGCACATAGTTCGGGCAGAGTGAGGGTTTATGGCAAACTCTCGCCACCCTTCAGTATCACCAGCGGTGTGAGACAAGGATGCCCGCTGTCACCTTTCCTCTTCAACTTCGCTATTGATGAAGTCATGGAAACAGCGTTCGCTGGACACGACCTAGAAGGTGTGGAGCTACTCCCTGGTGAGCGACTTCTTGACTTGGAGTATGCAGACGATATTGCCCTAATCTGTGACGGCTCCCAAACATGCCAAACAGCACTGAACCGATTAGCACTGGCTGTCAGTCGTTTTGGGCTATGCTTTGCTCCATCAAAATGCAAAGTACTTCTCCAAGATTGGCAGGGACCCAACCCTGCGCTAACGCTTGGTGGTGATCTGCTAGAAGTCGTTCAGGAATTCAAGTACCTGGGCAGCTATATTAGCACCCGTGGGATTGAAGATGAGGTTACGAACCGTATAGCAAAAGCTCGAGGTGCTTTTGCCAATCTCCGCCACCTGTGGCGCAGACGCGACATTACTCTCGCCCTCAAGGGCAGAGTTTACAACGCAGCCGTCCGTTCAACTCTCCTATATGGCTGTGAAACCTGGCCCATCAGGTCGACAGACATGAAGAGACTCGTCACGTTCGATCATCGCTGCCTTCGCAGCTTAGCTCATGTCTGGTGGGAACACCGCGTGAGCAATGAGCGTGTTCGACGTCGCGTATTTGGTGCAGGAAGAGCGAGTGAACCGCTCAGCACGATTATATCGCGCACCAGGCTCCGATGGCTGGGCCACGTCTTGCGCATGCCAGCACACCGACTCCCACGACGTGCATTGTTTGCGCGTTGTGGGTGCGGTTGGAAGAGGAGGAGGGGAGGCCAAGTGATGACTTGGTCGCGAGAAATGAAAACCCTCACTTCGAAGTTGGCGTCGGTTGGTGCATCCCGACTGCCTGGCTGGGGTCCTAAGGACGGTGAACACGTTTGGCTGGACACACTTGCTGATATGGCTAGGAGCCGGCCCCAATGGCGTTTGTGTTGTGAGTTCCTTTGTCCATCCCCCTCCTGTTTAGCATCCCCCTCCAATCACGATCTCAAGCGTTAGGCATAATATGACTTTCTTTTACGGCAGCCAACTGTTAGCTCTCCGGAACGATGTCCATCCGTTACTGGGGACTCAGCGGGCGTGCCACTGTTTGTTTGTTTTTTCTTTTCTTGCCTTTTGTATTGCGGCACAATAGCTGAGGTGTTTTCCACCTCCAGCTAACGTGTAATGATGATGATGATGAAATGTGGCATCATGCCGTTTGACCTTTACGAAATTCTATCCTCTGTACATGAATCTGCAGAGTGTGGGCAGTGTTCAAGCAACATTAACAGCGCTCGACTCTAGCCGCACAAGTGTTGGCATACGGCAAGAGGACAATGAATTGAGTCAGTTAACCGTTTCAGTTCTGTCAGCTGATTCTGCCATGATGACAATCAGCTTTAGCACAACTTTCCATATCCAGAAAAGAATCTCATACGGAGAAGCAGAGCGATCAAAGAAAGTAAAACACAGGGTTGCAAAGAGATCTCTTTTCGGCAGTTCAAATCAGGCAAATACAGCCACAGTACTGCTAAATGCAACAGTAAACTAGTGAAGGCAAAAATGAGGATGGATCGGGCGGTTTGAACAGATTCAGCACGTTCGTTCAATGCTCAAATCGATTTAATCAGGTGACATCCTGTTATAGGGCTAACAGACAGCGAAACAATTTATGTAAAAAGGAAGAGGCAAAAGTACTAACAAAATAAAAATTTCATAAATAAATAGCACCCGGTTATGCGTAATACTCCGGCGGAAGACTTATGATCAGGGCCATGGCAAAGTCAAGGGTTGCACAAGCACCCTATGCTTACATAGCTCTGGTTGTGTTAGCCGGATCGCGATGACTTCAGCCGTCTGCAAGAGGCGTTTCCTTAACCCTTTCGGGTATCACCTCGGTATGGCATAATAGACTTTGAAGGCCTCTGTGGTCAAAATCTGATGCCCACTTAGAATCAGATGTTCCAAGATCGAGCTGTTGGTACTTCTGAACGTGCCTCTGCGCAGTGACCCTGGACCATGCTCAGCCATTCGTACCTACAGACGCCTCGTCGTATGTCCGAAATACTTGGCACCACAGGTGCAAGTAAACTGGTAAGCGATGTACGATTCGGACGACATTTGCAGTTTGTCTAAGACGTTGTGCTATAATCAGTGCGGTCTCCGCAAGAACTTGCGGGTGCGCGGCCGGGTAGGTCCTTGCTGCGGCATCAGAAAGTCTTCTGTTCGGGAGATCGAAGGCGATATCTCCCTTAAAAAGAACAGAAAGAAACACATCCTTCTTCGAAACTGTTGCTACGGGCTTAACGGGTCATGATGTACTTTTTGATGAAACGTTCAAGGTAACCATTCGAAAGAAGTGTTTTCACAATTCTGTCCTTCTCATCCCCAGAGTTTCCGGACTACAACTGTTGGTGGCCCGGTAATACAAGCAACGCGCTAAGTTGCGTTTGTACTTCAGATGGACGAAGCTCGAAAAGTGGGTGTACTGTCCAACCCATGTAGCTTTACGGAAGACACTACGCTCAAGTGATCCGTCCTCACGCCTCCTCAAGGAGACGTCCAGT